CCTATTTGTCTTTTCCTTTTTTTTCATTTATTCATTACCCATACATCCATTTGCTCTGTGCAGGTTCTTGTTCTGGGCTCTTCAGAGGACACGGACCCAAGAATGGCTTTTCTTCTGCTTCTCTCTCTCTGGCAAACTTCTGATGACCCTTCAAAGCCCAATTCAGGTGGCCCCTGCTCTGAGAGCATCGCCTGCTCTTGAAATTTCTGAGCTATTCCCACCTCCTTCCTCTTTCTCACGCTTCACATCTCAAAGTTAGTGTTATCTCATTTCACAAATAGTTAATGCCTTACTCCGTGCTGAAAGCTGGAGATCCAGATGACTCTAGAAAGTTCCCACCCTTAGGGAGCTTAAAGCCTAGTGACAGATAGATGCATACCAATAGGTCAGGATAATGTAGAGTAATTGATGTTATACTTGGGTTTTGAAGAAAATTATAATAATAATAGCAGTCACCACTTTTTTACTACCTTTGTTTGGCATTCTTTACCCTTATTATCTCCTCCTCTACTCCAGAAACCCTCGGAAACAGGTTTTTACGCTGGTGGGGAAACTGAGGGTAGGAGGTTTAATGTAACTTGCTCGTGGTCACCCAGTTTGTCAGTGGCTGAGCCCTGATTGGAACTCAGGGCAGAGTGGCTAGAGACACGTGTCTTTGTCTCTGCTCATCTGGCTGTGAACCTGCTGAGGCGGCAGCTGAGTCTGTCTCCCTGGTCCTCATGGCTGATGTTGATGGTGGGAAGAATTAACATAGAAGAATCAGAGCCCCTCACACCCCAGTGGAGACTGGGGCTGAGTACAAATCAGGCAGGCGTGGGCTGAGCAGCCTGGTCCTTCCCGCCTCCTGCCTTAAGAGTTCAGTGGAGAAGACTGACCCCCTCTGGCTTGGTTAACTTGGGAGGGCTTTCCAGAGGGGGCAGGCCTAACAGGTAGGATTTCCCAAGGTCTTTACTAGGCTGTCAGAGTAGAGGGGGAGGAGGGGGAGACTTCCCCTGAGAAGAGCTCGTGGAAAGAAATACCGCTTCCGGCCCTCTGGGAACCATACCGGGCCTCTTTAGTCCTGGGCGCTGATGCTCCCTTAGAAACAAAATGAGACTAAGACCAGGAAAGAGGGTGGCTAAGGACAAAGACTCTGCTTGGGTTTGAATCAGTTACCAGCCACCTGACTTTAAACAAGTTGCTTAACCTTTCTGCGCCTTAGTTTCTTCATCTGTAAAAGGTAGGGGATGGTAATTGTGACCGCCCAGATGTGTGGTTAGGTGCAAACAACTTAGGAATTGTCAGAGCACACCGCTGTAAACTGTAGAGTGCCAGGCCTTTGTTGGGAGGTATTACCTTTCATTACTGTAGTTGAGACTGGTTGCTGGGGCAGTTGAAGAGGGAGTTAAAGAAATGGAATCGTTGTGCAACCAGGAATCCCTTGGGACCTGGCCGAGTTGCAGCCCCAGAGTCTTCAGGCCTGGAACTAGGGCGGCAGAGCCCCTCGTGTGTCCCTGGGTCCCTGGCGACCAGGCATTGGTGGGCCAAGGAGGCCCCTCTTCCTGGCACTACCCCCTGACTGTCAAGGCCAGGGGAGAGATACAGGAAGGAGGATCGGGGTGTCTTCTCCCCCTGGCAGCCGAGGGTGGCGGGGAGCAGCCTCGCCTGCCTGCTCCTGCACCAGTCTCAGCAGACGGGGCAGTCTGAGAAGTAAATAAAACATTCGCAAGGTGAAGAGCAGAGGAGCCGGAAGCCCCTCAGCAGTTCAAAGTGTGGTCAGGTGTCTGTTCGGCAGGGGTGTGTGTGTAAGAAAGAGTGAGAGTGTGGGTGAACGTGTGTAAGAGAGGTTGTGAGACGATGTGAGAGAGTGAGCATGTGTAAGAGAGAGCGAGCGTGTGTGTGTGTGTGTGTGTGTGTGTGTGTGTGTGTGTGTGTTTCCCTAGAACCCCCTGTTGCCCAACTGCCGTCTGTACTGGGTGGAATGAGAAGCACTTCTCCCTCCCCCGGCCTCTTCACTTAAAGGGGGAGCCAGGCCTGAACTGTATTAGTGGGTTTGCCCTGTGTCTCCGAGATGCTGAACCCTGTACCTTCTCCCATCCTTGCTCTGGGAGTACTGGGCGCCCTCACAGAAAGCAGCGTGGTTTCAGAGATCCCCCGACTTGGAGCGTCATGGGCTCTCATGGTGGAATTGGTCACGTGACCATTAACAGGTTACTGGTTCTCCTTGAGTCTCAGTTTCCCTAACCACATAATGGAAGATTTGGATGTTCTCTACGGTCTGTTCCAGCTCTCACAGCTCCAGGTCTGATTCTGATGCTGCCCCACCCCTGATTCCATGCTGGTGACATCATCCTGCCACAAGTTTGTGCCTTGGGAGTTTTGCCTCATTTCTTGGCATTTTGGGATCTCACCTCAATGCTGGGCCTTCCTCTGGGGATCAGGGGGCCCAAGTCGGCCCCATTCATCACACCTGCTGTCAGCAAGTTTCCTGCACTTTGAGGAGACCATTAGGGATGCAGGGTGGGGACCACTGGTGGAGTCAGGGCCGTGAGGGAGGGACAAGCCAGAACAGACCCACAGGCTTCCCCTTGCCTGAGTTTTCACACCTAATGACAAAATCCACCCCCTTGTCCCCGGAAGCTGTTTTCCCTTGGGTAAGGAGCCAGGAGTGGATCCCAGACCTTCCACCTCAGCCTGGGTTCAGCCCTCCCCTTTCGTTGCTTATCAGGGCCCAGAATTCCACCTGCTCACTGGGAGGCAGGGCCAGCGCAGGAAGACCTGGGGGGACCCGCTCTGAGAACATGGCTCCAGCCCCAGCTTCTGTAGCAGCTGCCTTTTTTGGAAGAGAGTGCACTGTGTCTGAGACAGGAGGCCCTGGACCCAGTCAAGGGTGGCCTGGGCATGCCCTGCCTCTTCTGAGCTCCAGGTTTTCTCAACTAGGAAGTCAGCTGCCTCCTCGCCTATTGGTGGAGACCTGATGGCCCAAAGGCCCCGAGGCTGGGAAAAGCATGGCGGGCCCCATGAGCTTCTCACAGAGCCACCTGTGACCCTGAGTCACCATGGTGTCCTCAGTGTGCAGCTCCTGCCGAGCTCAGGAAAAACACATGAGCTTGAGTAAGGGATTAATTAGCTCTCTCTGCTATAAGTTTGAGATATTCTAAGCTAGAGCAGAACCTCTCCCATAGACTCTGGGGAAGCCACCTAATCTTGCCAAGCACCAGCTTCCTCTTCTGCAAAATGGGCACAATACCTATCCCACAGGGCTGTTGTGAAGAGGATATGTGCCAGGCTCCCGGCATAGAACCTGGCTCGTGGTGCACCTTTAGGAGTAAGGAACGTTCTTTGTGTTACTGCTCTTGGCTTGTTTCACATGCCTCGCACCCCTCTCGAGGGGCTGTGGCTTGTCTCTGGGTCTCCAGTGCACTCTCTGGCATTTCTTAGGGCCAGGAAAGCTTTGTGGGCATGTTAAAGATCTAACATGCTAGGTCGAAGTGGAAGCTATTGTCTACCTGCGCTGGCTCTTTAGACTCTGCCTAAGGTGGCCATCGGCACTCACCTCTAGGGCAGGCAGGGGTAGGGTATTGACAGGCAGGCCTGCTGGCTAGAGCTGGAGCTGGACTCCTGGCCTTGAGAAGCTCCTGCCTGGCTCGTGCCTACCAGAGGAGCTCTGCTCCCCTAAACCCCCGTGCTGTCTTATGTCCTCTGGGAGTGTGGTGCCGTTGTCCTGCCTCCACCATTTAGGCATGGGTTGTCTCACCTTGCTGGGTGCCAGGGAGAGAGGCATCTGGGCAACAACTGTGGATGGAAGATTACGAGACACATCGAAGAAGGACTCCTGCCCCAACCTGGACAGGCGAGAATGGTCAGGAAACACTTCCTGGAGGAAGCAGGCGGAAGGATATGGTATCAGCCACACACAGTGGGGGTAGAGGTACAGGAACAGAGTTCTGAAGAGACAAACTAGACTATGCAGAGAGCTGCAGGCAAAAGAGGATGTGGCTCATTTGGGGGAATTACAAACAGTTTGGCAAGACTGAAACATAATAATTGACAGCAGGGAACATGGGACACGAGAAAGATCTAACAGTGGAGGCAATGCTGAGTGTCTGGACTTTACCCTATACAGCAAGAGACTCGGACTCAACATGACCTTGCCCTTCCCATTGGACCAGCCATGTGAACACTGGGAGTTTACTGGTGGACACTACAAAGATTGGGGGACTTTTTCAGCCAAAGAGGTGACTTTTGGTCGGGTCCATTTTGAAGTCAGGAGAATGTACATGATGGCTTTGGGGTCCTCACCTGGCCTACAATGGAGGTATGTTCCTCCCACCCCAACATAAGTGTCTCCTGGGTGCTTGGTACTGTGCCAAGGTTCTGGGCCTAGATAGTACTTTGAGTGTGAGTCTTGACTTGTAGCTCTTCTGACGCTACTCAGATGGGTACCTGAGAATAGGAGGTGCTTTAGGCAAGGGGGTGGGGAGGGACGTTTCTCCTACTTCCCAACGATCTTGAGTAATGAGAGCAGACACCTGGTTAGATGGGCTAGTGGGAATCACGTGGGCAAAGGCCCACACCTATGCATTTTCAAATCAGTGGATACTTGTTGAGGACCTGCTGTGCCGCCAGCCCTGGGAATATAATTATCAACAGACAAGGAATCTGCCCGCTCAGAGCTTACAGGGACAGGAGGAAAGCAGGAACATCATCTTGAGCAAAGTGCCATACCCTCTTAACGAAGCCGATCCTGGGGGTTATGGTGCCCAACAGCCAGCGAGATGCCCAGGGCCTCACCCACCTCCCCACCCAAAAAACAGCCCAAAAACTCAGAGGGAACTGTGAATCCTGTGTTATTATCACTTCCATTTTACAGTGAAGACGCTGAGGCTAGAGAGTTAACAGAGTAGCCCCCAAGACCAAGCCTGTACCATTCTCAGCAGCTCCTTTCCTTTTCCCCAGCCCCAGCCTCCCATTCTGGCTCCTCACAAGCCCACAGCCTCCCATTCTCTCGCCCTCTACAGGTTTCCATGTGATTCCCACTATCTCAAGCATCGTCCCAGAGAGCTGCCTGCTGATCGTGGTGGGGCTGCTGGTAGGGGGCCTGATCAAGGGTGTGGGTGAGAAACCCCCTTTCCTGCCGTCGGATGTCTTCTTCCTCTTCCTGCTGCCACCCATCATCCTGGATGCAGGCTACTTCCTGCCGCTGCGGCAGTTCACAGAGAACCTGGGCACCATCCTCATCTTCGCCGTGGTGGGCACGCTGTGGAACGCCTTCTTCCTGGGCGGCCTCATGTATGCCGTGTGCCTGGTGGGTGGCGAGCAGATCAACAACATCGGCCTCCTGGAAAACCTGCTCTTTGGCAGCATCATCTCGGCCGTGGACCCCGTGGCCGTGCTGGCCGTCTTTGAGGAAATTCACATCAACGAGCTGCTACATATCCTCGTCTTTGGGGAATCCCTGCTCAATGACGCCGTCACTGTGGTGAGGGGTTGGGGATCACACCCATGTGCACACAGAACACAGACCTGAAATCCAAGTCCAGAATGACCCACATCCACCTGCTAATAATAGTAATATAGCAGCAAGTGTCCTCTCCTGCTTATTGTGTGCCAGGCATCATGCTGAACAAGAGACATGGGTGATTTTATTTAATCCTCATGGCAACCTTAGAAGGTGCTTAGTGTTCTCACTTTGTAGAGGAAGGATCAAACCTCAAAAAGTTAAATAACGTGCTAGAGTATGACAGGACCAAGGTTAGAAGCCAGTTCTGTCTAACTCAAGGGCCTGAGTTCCTGGCCTTACCAGGTCATATGCTCCGTCCCTGACTTGGGTTGTGATAGGATCTTGGGTAAATTACGTATCCTCTTTGTACCTCAGTTTACCTTTTCTAGACCATTTAGTCTGGGAGGAGCATTTCAGCTTTCATATTGGCGATGTCTTAAGTTAGAGCTTGATTCGTGCAGCGTTCTGGGGCAGCAGTTGTGGAAAGGAACCTTGCCCCCAAAACCTCCAGAAAGTGATTGAGTAAACTGGGTTGGCCTGGGTGGGCCACTTGCTTGCTGTGTGACCTTAAGCAAGTGATTGTACCTCTCTGGGCCTCACCTTGACAGCTGCAAAGTGGCAGAGGATTTAGTGCTTTCTTCCCAGGGTCTGGTGAGGACAGACAGCCCCAGGGTCCGCACATGGCAGCCCTGTATGTGCTTGCACACGTCCTTCCTCCCAGCCAGCTTCCTCAGGAAGCAGATACGTGTATGTGCACATTCATACTGTGTTGTGAAAACATCCCCATCCCCCTCCCAGCTGGACCCCTCAGCAGCTGCACCCATGGGAAAACACAAAGACACGTGTGCGCACCGAGTGCATGCTTGCACATGCCCTCGCTCTTCCCCAGCCCCAGCCCCTCGGGAAGCTGCACCTCAAAGAAGAGGCCGACCGGCTGCCAACGGCCCTGGCTTCCTCTTCCCCACCCCTGCCTTCATTGGCTCCCCATGAGGCTGGTAGAGCAGCAACCTGGCTGGAGCAGCAAGCCTCAGACCGGGCCTCTTTTAATGCCCCTCTTGCCCAGGGTTTCTACACAAGCCTCAGTGTCTCCATCTGTAACAGGGACTACAGTACTCACCCTGTCACCCTGGTCGGGTGCTTACAGGAGTGACACTCACTAACGTCTGAAACCACTGGGGATCAGATGAAGTCCTCCCATTGGACCCGGGTGTTGGGTTGCACTGCCAGGGAGCAGCGGAACATGGTGTGTTAAGTAGACACCTCCCTGTGGCCACGTTGGGCCATGGCCACGCCTCCCCACAGCAGTGGCAGTGGTGGTAGTAATCACGGGTGTTCTTTGAACACTTCCTGTCAAAATATGAATTGCCTCATCTAATCGGCACAGAAACTCTATGAACGGGCACTCTTGTTATCCCCATTTTTTTTTTTTAATGAGGAAACCCAGGCCCTGAAAGGTTAACTCACCTGAGGTCACATTCTCTGATAAGTCATGTGGCCAGGGTTGAGCTACACAGTCTGAGGCCAGAGCCCAAGTGCTTACACTATGTACCACGCCCCCCTCGTCCCAGTGACAGTAATATCAGGCTGGAACGAAGGACCTTGTCCTCTCTACCTGCCCCATTGGCCCAAATGGTATGTCCTGAGGACCCATGAATCTCTTCAGGCCAGGAGGGAGTTTAGGTAGCCCAGTGCTGAGAACACTCCTCCGTCTGCTGCCGCCCCGCCCTGTCTCCCAGTTCAAGCCCTTTCTGAGACTCTGGGTGTGATGTGAGCACCTCATTTCCTGGACGGTAAACCTGAAGGCTGCCTCAGAGCTGTGTGGTCTCAGAGCAAGTCACCTCCCCCAGCCCCCTCTCCCTGCCTTCTGATGCCCAGGTACTGGGAGCTTGGAGGGTCCCCTCAGGGATCCTGAGCAGCGCCCCCATGCCTGGAAACTTCCCAGCTGGTTTCCTGGCAGAGCTGTCTAGGAATAGGCCGGGGAGCCGGCACCTAAGAGAGGGAAGAAGAACCTCAAAGCTGGACCTTCCAGGGAGACCCTGCCTCTTGCTGTCAGGGAGCGAGTTCTGGGCCCAGTTTTGCTGCTTCTGGGCTGAAGCCCTCTGGCTGCTTCACCACTCTGAGCCTCAGTTGCAGTTAGCAAGGGAGCAGGCATCCTTGGCCCCCCTGCGTCATAGGGCTGTTGTGTGTGAAGCAGGATGACCACCCTCAGGGGGCTCTCCAGTGTCCGAAGCGCTACTTAAACATCCTACGATAGTGTTACAATGTTTATTTCCCAGACCAGGAATTGGGGGAGCCTTAGAGAGCCTAGTTCCATAGCATCAGAACTTCATTGCAACTTCGGAGCAACCTCCTGGGGAACTTGCTGACCAGAGATTTCCGGGGCCTACCTCCAGAGATTCCAAGTGGGATATGGCCTGGCCTTATGTGTTTTCAAAAAGTGTCAGAGGCTGAGAAGTCCTGTTGTAGTTCATTGTCTGAACTTGCCCAGCCCCGTGCTGAAGGAGGGACGCGGTCTGCCCGAGATCAGACAGCAAGAGGCGAACTGAGCGGTGCCAGTCATAGCGACACTGTCATAGGCGCAGTTCTAGGCTTTCTGCCTTTATTGACTAATTCAGTCCTCACAACAGTGCTGTTCGGTTGGTGCTGTTCCCCCATTTTTGTGGACAGGAAAACTAGCACAGGGAGATTGAGTGCTTTGCCCCATGTGTATACTAAGAAGCGACAGAGCCAGAATTCCAACCCAGGCAGGTTGGCTTCAGCATCTGTGCTCATAACCAGCATTGTTCTGTAAGTCCCAAGCAAGACCTTCTGGCCAGTGGTTTTGAGCGCCTGTTTGGCCTTAGGGTTTCTCTTACCATGTGGCCTCTGATGGCCGTGCTCATTGAAGGGGGCAGGATCACTCTGGTCTGACCCGGGGAGCCTTGGGCCAGGACCCTGCCCTCCCACCAACCAGCCTGCACACCCTCCACAGGTTCTGTACCACCTCTTTGAGGAGTTTGCCAGCTATGACCGTGTGGGCATCGTGGACATAGTCCTCGGCTTCCTGAGCTTCTTCGTGGTGTCCCTGGGCGGGGTCTTTGTGGGCGTGGTCTACGGGGTCATCGCAGCCTTCACATCCCGATTCACTTCCCACATTCGTGTCATCGAGCCGCTGTTCGTCTTCCTCTACAGCTACATGGCCTACCTGTCAGCTGAGCTCTTCCACCTGTCCGGCATCATGGCGTGAGTCTGGGCTTAACATGGGGAGGCCATCCACCTGAATTCTCTGGGCTTGTAGGTCACAGGGGAGCTCTCCAGGGCCCAGCCTCCAGCTCCGGGGAGGAGACCCGAGCTCCAAGCTCCAGGCCCTAGGACTGTCCCTGGAAGCACTGAGTTTAAAGTTCTGGGAAGTCTAGCCTTGCTGCTACTTTTTTTTTAATCTTTTATTTTTAAAAAAATATTTATTTTTGGAGGGGAAGGGAGGGAGAAAGAGAGGGAAAGAAACATCAATGTGTGGTTGCCTCTCATGCGCCCCCCACTGGGGACCTGGCCCACAACCCAGGCATGTGCCCTGACTGGGAATTGAACCAGGGACCCTTTGGTTCTCAGGCTGGCTCTCAATCCACTGAGCCACACCAGCCAGGGCTAGACTTGCTACTTCTTTCCTTCATTTGTCTCAAAGGGAGCCCCTTCAGTTGAGCTGGACATAGGTTCGCACGTTCACTGTTCCCCTTGGCAGCCCCAGCAAGGAGGCTTGAGGCTTCTGCTGAAGTGAGGATCCCTGAGGCCTCAGCTGAGTCTTGAAGGCAGAGCCAGTGAGGTGCAAAGGTGTTCCCAGCGGGGAAAGGCTATTGGGGGTGCAGAGGCGGGGCTGGACCTGGGAATTCTGGATGACAGTGAGAAGGCCGAGCCAGTGGAGCCCAGGCGTGGGCTCCAGGCTGGGAGGGTTTGGGCTGCTGCTTGGAACGGAGCTCCTTGGGGACATGCGTTAAGGGGACACCACATTCGAGGATGAGGAGAATGAATCCTAGGCTACTGACATGCGTTTAACTGATTTCCTGTGAGGCACAGGCTTTGGAGTTGGCCAGACCTCACTTTGTGTCTTAGCTCTGTCACTCACCAGCAGTGTGACAGTGGGCGGGTGACTTTATTTTCACTCATCTGAAAAATATAAGAATATGCGTGTCTGCAGGGCAAGTGAAAGGCTTAAGTGAGAACACGTGTGGAAAGTACATAAGAGCCCAGTAAACAGGCAGCTGCCAGCCTCCCTGGCAGGGGAGGGGCTCTGGGAAGGGGCGGCTCGACTCTGAACCCTGAACCCCACCTTCCCTGACCCCAGACTCATCGCCTCGGGAGTGGTGATGCGCCCCTATGTGGAGGCCAACATCTCCCACAAGTCCCACACCACCATCAAGTATTTTCTGAAGATGTGGAGCAGTGTCAGTGAGACCCTCATCTTCATCTTCCTCGGCGTCTCCACCGTGGCCGGCTCCCACCACTGGAACTGGACCTTTGTCATCAGCACCCTGCTCTTCTGCCTCATCGCCCGAGTGCTGGGTGAGATCCCCGGGCCCGAGCCAGAGGAGGCGTGTGGGAGTGGAGGGCCTGGGTGGGCGGGTGCTGTGTGTGTGCATGTGCGTGTGGTGCGTTTTGTGGAGGCGCCGGGGTTGGTGCCTGGCTGCCCCCCAGCACAGCCGGACAGCTGGGGTTTCCTCGGCCCCCCTCCCCACAATGCCAAGTGCCAGGCCCTTGAAGGGAGAGAAGCCTGTGCTCACAGTGAGTCAGTACAACGTGTCAGAGTGGAGGGGCCTCAGGGCCCTGAGGTTCGGGGCCTGTCAGTATCTGAGGAGGGGGCCAAGGCGCACACAGCCCCAGTCCGTGAGTGTTCTCTGGGTTGTCCCAGGGTGCAGATGACTTTTAGTACTTGCAAAGCTGCATGCAGCTCCTCCAAACCTAAGCTGCCACCTGGAGCTGCGCACAGGACCAGGCCTCAGGTCCTTGGGTTCTGCTTACACTTTGCAGACACACCTCACCTCGGCGCCTTGCCCACCCTGGGTCTCATGGACCTCCTCTCTGAGGTCAGGTCTGTGGTGCTGAGCCTGACTGGGTGTCACAGTTCCTTGGTGTCCTTTTTAAAAATCTCCTTAATCCTGGGCGTCGTCCCCCATAGATTCTGTTTCTGACAGTTGAGGTTGGACCCATACCTCTGCATTTTTTTAAAACTTGGTATTATAGGAAATTTCAAACCAGAGAAAAGTAGACCCCATATACCCATCATATTTATTTAACGAGTGTCACCCTGTTTCATCTCTTTTCCCATCATCCTCCTAACCTTTGGCTACTAGAGGTCTCTGTGATGCCTCTAAAGTACATCCAGGTTGGGGGCCGCCTTAAGATCCACCCAGCTCTTGGATTGAGGGATTCAGCGCACCCCTGGCTAAGGGACCCAGAAAATGAATGAGCTGGGTGGGCTTATCAGTGGAGGGTTCCTCCAGACAGAGAAGTCCCTAGTGCGGAAGCCAGGAGGGAATGTGGGCACCTGACCCCTCTTCTTACCCCTCCCTGGCAGGCGTGCTGGGCCTGACCTGGTTCATCAACAAGTTCCGCATCGTGAAGCTGACGCCCAAAGACCAGTTCATCATCGCCTATGGGGGCCTGCGAGGGGCCATCGCCTTCTCTCTGGGCTACCTCCTGGACAAGAAGCACTTCCCCATGTGTGACCTGTTCCTTACTGCCATCATCACCGTCATCTTCTTCACCGTTTTTGTGCAGGTGCTGGACAGGGTGGAGCACCCCGGCCTGGGGACCCTGACTCTGCCTTTGGAAAGAGGAAGCACGTGATCCAAGAGGGAGCCATGGGTTCTAGTCCCAGCTCGACCAATAACTTGCTTCACAACCTTGGGCAAGCCACTTCCCCCTTCTGGGCCTCAGTTTCCTCAATTGTTAAGAGGAAATTAAATTTTTTTTTTAATTTATTGATTTGAGAGAGAGAGAAGAAGAGCAGGGAGAGAGAGAGAAACATTGATTTGTTGTTTTGTTGTTCCTCTTATTTATACATTCATGGGTTGATTCTTATATGTGCCCTGATTGGGGATCAGACCTGCAACTTTGGCACATTGGAACAACGCTCTAACCAACTGAGCTGCTCCGCCAGGGCAAGAGGGAATTGTGATAATGGGTCATTGTGAGATGATCAATCACAATATAAAGGAGCCAGAATGCTGCCTAACTTAGGAAGCCAGAGGGGAAGAAATAGGTAGTCAGCAGGCCCACAGTGCACATTGTAGGGCTTTAGGGAAGTAATTTAATATTTTAGGATCTCAGTTTCTGCATCCGAAAATGGGAATAATTGCACAACGCAGGGAACTGGAAAGGTTGCTAAGCCAGGCAGCAGGAGGTCTGGAGTTGGCTCAAGCTCTGCTGCTGCCCTCGTGACCCTGGAAAATACCCTCCTCCCGTCTCTGGGTCTCAGTTCCCCATCTTTGAAGTGAGAGGACTGGACTAGATGACCCTGAAGCTTGCTTGTCAGTGATTTCTGTGCATTTGAATGATCCAGGCGTAGCTGAGAGCACACCCTCGCCCCCCTTGTAGTTAGCAAGGAAGCCCAGCCTGGGATTATGTAAATCCCACCCTGCCTGATCAATGACCTTGGGCGAGTAAGAAAACACTGTCCGGGCCTCAGTTTCTCTACCATCCCTGCTATCCCTTCCATCTTTCCTAAACCCTAATCCTTGCCAACATCATTGCCTTCTCAGGAGAAAAGAATATGGAAGAAACTTCTTGGGGCTAGACTTATTTTCTCTCCTTTAAAAGGAGAGGGGGCTGCCTCTTTTTTCCTCTTGTGCAGCTTCCATCTCAGAAATATTATCACCTTGACTTTGCAAGTTGTATATGCTAATGGTTTACCAAGTCCATTTTCAATGAAAGTGGCATTGAAGTAGGGCTCTCCCTGCTTGAGTTTGAGTCCAGCTCTCCTATTTCTTTGAGACCATAGACATTTATTTAACCTCTCTGAGCTTCAGTTTCCTCATCTGTAAAACAGGGACAATGAAAGGACTTACCTCTTACGGTGGTTGGTGGTGTTAAAGAGCTAATACCAGCCCTGGCTGGTATGGCTCAATAGATTGAGTGCCAGCCTGCAAACCAAAGTGTCACTGGTTCGAGTTCCACTCAGGGCACATGCCTAGGTTGCGGGCCAGATTCCTCACTAGGGGGCGTTCGAGAGGCAACCACACATTGATGTTTCTCTCTTTCTCCCTATCTTCCTCTCTCTTTAAAAATAAATAGTTTTTTAAATAAGAGCTAATACTAGTAAAACACAGCTGGCTCTGGCACATGGTAATTGTGCAGTTAAATTAGCTGCTGCCACCATTACTAGGTGTCCCTTGGTCACAGTCCTGCAAGGCGGGCAGAGCACAAGCGGTTCCCCCTGTTCTGTAACACTAGGCCTGACTTCCCTAGGGTTATAGAGCATGCCTGTGGTGGAGCTCACACTTAAATCCAGGCCCTTGACCCCTGACCTGGGCTAGATGACCAGTGTGAGTCATTTGGCTGGATAGGCTCTCAGACCTCCGGCTGTGTCTTCGGGAAGAGCAGGCCTTGGAGACCTGCTTTTATAGAAGTGCTGGCAAGGAGGTTGAGAGTTTGGGGGCCCCAGAGCAGAAGGCATCCCTGCCTCGGCCCCTGCGGGGAGAGGGGAGGCCCTGTGGGCTCCTTGCCAGGGTAGGAGAACTGAAGGGCCTGACACCCACCGGCTCCCTAGGGTATGACCATTCGGCCCCTGGTGGACCTGCTGGCTGTGAAGAAAAAGCAAGAAACGAAGCGCTCCATCAACGAGGAGATCCACACTCAGGTACTGGAGGCTGGGCCCTCAACTGCAGAAGGCTTGGGGAGCAGCTAGGGCCTGCGTCCATGCCCTCAGTCAGCCCCTTCTCCCCTGTCCCAGGACCAGGAGATCCTTAAGCTTCTTGAGGTCACGAGGTCTTGTCATAGGGAGGTGTGGTATGAGCAGCTGGGAGCCTGAGGAGGGGGCATCAGGCATAGGTGGGTTTGGAGAAGGGAGGTCAGCCATGCCCCAGTGGCAGAGGGTTTGAGGTGCCACTGGAGTTCGGGATGACTGAGGCGTAGGTGCCACCTCCTGGCTGCTCCTGGAATTACAGGGCTGGTCTGAGCAGAGAAGCGCTAGGTTTGAAGGTGGGGGGCCCTATTCAGAAGTCTTGGTAGGGAAGGAGCCCAGTAGTGAGGCTTGACCTGGCCCTGGGCCCGTTTCAGTTCCTGGACCACCTTCTGACAGGCATCGAGGACATCTGTGGCCACTACGGCCACCACCACTGGAAGGACAAGTAGGTGGCAGGCCTGGTGGGCAGGTGGGTGGGGAGGGGCAGGTAAGGGTCTCCCAGGGTCCGGGTGTCGCCCCACCGCTAGACGCTGGCTCCATCCACCTGTTCCTTTCTCCCACCAGGCTCAACCGGTTTAACAAGAAGTATGTGAAGAAGTGTCTGATAGCTGGCGAGCGCTCCAAGGAGCCCCAGCTCATCGCTTTCTACCACAAGATGGAGATGAAGCAGGCCATTGAGCTGGTGGAAAGCGGTGGCATGGGCAAGATCCCCTCGGCAGTGTCCACCGTCTCCATGCAGTGAGTGCTGGTGGCCAGCGCTGGCAGCTGCCACACCCACACACCAACCCCTTAGCACCGACCCGGAGCAGGCCCCCGGGGGGGGGGGCGGGCGCAGTGAGCAAGGCCCCTCTGTCCTCCTGTCAGGGCTGACGAGAACTGCAGGGCCGCGCTGAGGACGCGAGGCTTTGTCCACCCGCCCGGGCCATCCCCAAAATGACTTCCCTCTGGCCCAGCCCAGAGGGCTCCAGAGTCACAGGAGCTTTCTTTGGGACCTAACCTGTGTTGTGTTGTCCCAGGAACATCCACCCCAAGTCCCTGCCTGCCGAGCGCATCCTGCCTGCACTCTCCAAGGACAAGGAAGAGGAGATCCGCAAAATCCTAAGGAACAACCTGCAGAAGACCAGGCAGCGGGTGAGGGCCTGCTCCCCAGCCCGCTCCCCTCCAGGACAGGAGCCCTTCTGCCTGCTCTGTGCTCCAGCCCTGCCCCGCACGTGTCCGGAGCTGCCCCAGCCCCTCCAGGCCCACTTCTGGGGCCTGCCCTGCCTGACAGCTGTTCCTCCCGCAGCTGCGGTCTTACAACAGACACACACTGGTGGCGGACCCCTATGAGGAGGCATGGAACCAGATGCTGCTCCGGAGACAGAAGGCCCGGCAATTGGAACAGAAGGTGTGTCTGGGACGGGAGTGGCTCCTTCCTTTCTCTGGGTTCTTCCTCTTCCCGCACCCCCACCACCAAGCCCTTTTGAAGATAGAACACCCCAATCTGTCTTTTCGGCCTCCTCCGCCCGTTTTGAAAACTAATGCCTAGAGCAGGTTTCAGAAAGCCATCATCCCCTCCTCTTCTTCCCCACTAGGAGCAGTAAAGAGGCCAGGCCCCTCATATCCTCAGGCATCTGCCCTAGAAGGGTCTCTTGTGCTCTAACTTCTCGTTGTCTTCTGAGAAGACTAAGGCCCAGGGGGAAAGAGAGCTACCCAAATATCACAAAGCAAGGCACACAATCATTCAATTCATTCATTCATTCGGGGAACATTTGTTGAGTGGTCCCTAAGTGCTAAGCCTCTGTGAATCTGGGTGAATCAGCCCAGTCCCTCCCTTACAAAGCTTCTGATGCAATGGCCCAAGCAAGGCAAGAAGCGCAAGAGGCCCTGAGCACCTTGAACTTGAACAGGGATGGGGTCAGGGTAGGCATAGGTAGGAATCAGAGCCATGGTGAAGGGCTTGTGGGCAGAGGGAGGTCCAGGCAGAAGGAAAAACACGTGCATAAGTTCCCAGTCGCAGGATGTGGCCCATTCTAGAAACAGAACGTTCAGCTTTCAAGGGAAGATTGTTAACGGTGTAAGCGTTAGGGTTTTATTCTACAGGCATGGAGAGCCGGGAAGGGCTCTGAGCAAGGGAGTGACACGGGCAGGGGTGGAGGCGGCCCGGGGTAGGGTGGTGGCAGGGAGAGATGGAAAGGAGTGGGCTGACTCAAGGGACATTTAGTAGGTGGAACTAACAGGACGTGGTCACCAGTTTGAGGTGGGGCTGAGGGAAGAGGAGTCGGGCCATGTCTAGCCTTCCGATCGGGGTAGTTGGGGGTGGTAGCTGTGATAGGGGACGCCAAGGAAGGAACAAGGTTATGAGGGAAGATAAACTGAGTTTATTTTCAACATGTTGCATTGAGATACCTGGGAGCCATCCAGGATCCAGGTGTCCACTCCTGAGTGGACCTTATGGGTCTGTACTCCAGGGGCGGGTGTGGCTAAAGCTAGAGATTGGGGCAGTGTCACCGTGGGAGAGGCAGAGCAGTGAAGTGTTCGAGACCACCCAGGAGCTCGCATAGCTTGAGGAGAGCCTGAGCCAAGCCCTCAGGAACCCCTGAAGTGCCAGCGTGGCACACAGCCTGATGAGGGCGCGCCAAGGGGGAGCAAGCGCCCCAAACACGCCTGTGGCCACCAGACCCCTGTGCCGTCCGGAGGGGCCGCCCAAGCTCACACCTGTCTGTTCCTTCTCTGTCAGATCAACAACTACCTGACAGTGCCGGCCCACAAACTGGACTCCCCCACCATGTCCCGGGCCCGCATCGGCTCAGGTAAGGCAGGGCACAGGGCGCCTGGTGAGGGGCCGTGCGGCTGGGCACTCAGTGCCACCGTCTCCTGAAGAGGAGGCTCCAACAGGAATGGGCCTGAGAGAGCCAGCGGGGACGACAGGCTTCTCCTTCACTGACCTCTTCCCTAGTCATGAGCTCCTCCTGCGTCAGGTGGAGTTGGGGGAACGGCCAGCTGCCCTCCCCAGGGACAGAGGTCTCCACATGGGGCTGACGGTGAGGCCTGTGAAGGGAGCTGGGTGCCTGGCAGGGAGGCAGGAGGGGTCTGCACCTTTGGGATCTCCAACGTAGGGAGGAAACGAGGGCAGGCCTTCTCTCAGGCCTGGGGGTCCCGGGAGGCCGACAGTGACTGAGGAAGGAGCCCTAATTCTTGGTCTGAGGAGGAACGCCCATGGGAGCCCGTGGTCTGAGGAGAGGAACACAGTCCTACCTCTGAGACCCCAGGCTGAGGGGAAGAGACGCTCTCTGGTGCGGGCCCTTAAAGCCCATGTGGAGTAATTCTGAGACCTGTCAGGACTGCTGCACCACAGAAGGTTCTGCGGGAGCTGCTGACACGGGCTGAGGTGGGGCACGTGCTGGGCAGGGCTGAGGGTGTCGGAGGCAGCAGCCAACTTGTGCCTTGCTCTTGGTCCCCAGATCCACTGGCTTATGAGCCCAAGGCCGACTTGCCTGTTATCACCATCGACCCAGCCTCCCCACAGTCGCCCGAGTCTGTGGACCTGGTGAATGAGGAGCTGAAGGGCAAGGTTCTCGGGCTGAACCGGGACCCCAGAGTGGCTGATGAGGATGAGGACGATGACGGAGGCATTGTGATGAGGACCAAGGAGACCTCTTCCCCAGGCACTGATGATGTTTTCACCCCTGGGCCAAGTGACAGCCCCAGCTCCCAGAGGATACAGCGCTGCCTCAGTGACCCAGGCCCGCACCCTGAGCCTGGGGAGGGAGAGCCTTTCATCCCCAAGGGGCAGTAGTGCTGGGGCCAGTGGGCGGTGCCTGTCCCACCACAGACTCTCCCACCAGAGCAGGGGCTGCTGGGAGCTGAGGGGCTCCCCTCGTCCTTCCTGACCTGGATCGCCCCTCCCCCCACCGCATGGCAGCTGGGCCCACCGCAAGGCTTCCCCCGCCTCCTGGGAAGCGCCATCCCTTCCACCAGAACTGCCTTCCCAATTCATCTGGCAGAACTGCTGGGCTGTGAGGCAGATCCTGCCTCTTCCTATCCAGGCTCTCCCCCATCCCTGGAGGGTGGGGTGCCTCTGAGTTCCCAGACCTTGGTGACCCGCCCTCCTTCTCCATCACCCTCCTCATTCAGACCAATCTTAGTTTATAACCAAAGAGCCTCTGGCTCAGTCTTGGTCCCACCTGGGAAGGGAAGGAGCCCAGGCCTCTCCTGGCCTACGTCAGGCTCTTCATTAAGAGGGGAAAGCTGAGGGAGAACAGACATTTTTTTTTAAGGTTTTTATTTTATTCTCATGGCGAGTGGGAAAGGAGGGAGAGAAAGAGAAACATCGATATAAGAAAAAAACACTGATTGGCTGCCTCCTGCCTCCTGCACGTGTGTCCCAACCCGGAACCATGCCTGAAACCTGGGCATGTGCCCTGACTGGGAATCAAACCAGTGACCTTTTGGCTATGGAGGAAGCTCCAACCAACTGAGCCTTGCCGGCCAGGGCAGGGGGAGCAGACATGTGACCGGGGAGGGATCACCGACCCATGGCAGGCTCACCCTCCTGCCAGCTCTGTCGTCCCCGCCAGCCACCCCGACATGCCCTTACTCAGAGCTGCATCTCTGAGCTTCTCTGTGTGGAGCTGGGTCTCTGCGGACCGCGATGTGACTCAGCTTTTTAAATTGCTCCAACAGGGACCACGGAGCCCTCCAGGGGCTGCTGTCAGGGGAGGGACTGACTGTCTTGGGCTCCAGAAAGTGCTTTTTATCTCTTTTGTTCACACTTCCATGTGTGATGCACAGAGGCCATTCCTGTTTTTAAGCCATTTTGAAAAACCCTGGCTGAATGATAGCGCTGGTCCTCCCACTCAAAGGAATTACCCCTCCTCACTTGGGTCTGTCTGCCCAACACTCCCCCAAATCGGTCCTCTGCCTCCTGGACTCCTAACTATGGCCCCAAGGCTCTGATTTCAGAAGCGACACCCCAAGCCCAGTCATGGTTCTCTCCAACTCGCAGATGCTGGGCCTTCCAGTCCTGCTTTGCCCTTGGGCCTGACGCTCAGTTCCTGCCGGCCGGTCTTTCTCCCATCCCCGCTGTCGGCCCCAGGAACCCCTCCCTCCGATGTTCACTGCACCCAGCTTGCTGTGGATCCCAGTCCCCAGTTGTGCCCGGCCAGGGCCGGTGGGTGGGCTGAGTCCTAGGCCCCCAGAGGCCTTTGCTCCCAGGCACACAGCCCCACTCCCACTGCCCCCACGGCCAGGCCTAGGACCATTGGTGTCTGTCCTTCCCCCAGGGCACTTCCCCAGGATTGTGCAATAGTCAAGGGTGTCCCTCTTCCCAGGGCACTGGGCAGTGGGTGCTCGTCTGACCCCCCTTTCCGTGCAAGTGCTGGTTTGGGCAGGAGTCACCACTGCACGGGTGACATTGACAACCAGGTTCAAAGCCACCACAGCTGCTGCTGCTCTGCTGCCTACACAGAAGAAACCAAATTTTTTCATATTCTAATAAATCCATGTGAGTTTTTTATAGAGTTGAGGGGTGTTTCCTGGGAACAGGGACTTTGGGGAGTAGGGTGGCCTGCAGGCCTGAAGGACTTAGCTCGGTGGCTGGCCCGGAGCAACGCCCTCTCTGTGTCGGCTGCTGGTGTGGTTATTGCTGCGTGCCAGGCACAAGGGATACAACTGAACAGAGCAAAGTGCCCCCTTGTCCTCAGTTCTGTCAGCCTCTGGGGAAGAGCAGCATTAGTTAAACATACACACCGACCATGAAAACCCCAGTGTGTATAAATGCCGGTGAATGAAAGCGGGGGGTGGTGGGATGGGATGGCGAGGAGGACTCTCCTGAGTGATGCCCTAGGAGAAGACTAGGGAATGAGCTGAGGTTAACCAGGAGAAGAAGGTTTTAGAGAGTCCCCAAATACTCTAATTGCGAGCTGCACAGTGAGCACCCCTAGAACCTGAAAATGAGACCAGTGTGTCTGGGTCAGAGTGACAAGACGGGAGGCACAGGCGGGGCTCTGCAGTCCCAGGTTAAGATTTTGGTTGTATTACACAAAGGGCAATGGAAAGGTTCTCACCTCTAACGTGGAGACAATAGCCGCTTAATGAAATGTGCGCACATGTGTGGAGGACTGAGTTCAGCTGAAGTTGGATTCGTGCACTTTTAGGAAGTGACCACCAGGGGGCAGTGGGGCCTTGGCACACAGCCCCAGCACCCTTGGAACCTGCGCCGTCCAGGAAAGCATCTCTTTTGCCCAGCCTGGGACCTCTGTATGGAGTTGGTTTGACTCACACAATCGGCAATATTCAGTGCCAAAGGACTGTAGGGAAGGACCAAACTATTTCTGTACCAAGTGGTGACCCACTAAGAAATGGATGGTATGCTTGAAGGACTGTTGAAGAGCCTTCAACCAAGGGATTTTTACAGGGGTGTGGGTAGAGTTAAGGGAACCTACGAGGGATGAGAGCTCACACCAGAAGCCATTGCAACCCCTAGACCTGAAAGGCGAGGAGAGAGTGTTACCTTGGGAGGGGCTGCCCTGCTGGAGCTGCAGCCGCAGGGAGCAGAACACAGCCCCTGCCGGGCGGGCGCCCACCAGATACACGCTCTGACTTTGGTCCTGCGGCTGCCTGTCCTTGGCCAAACCCAGGTGGAAGCCAGAAGGAAAGGCGTCTCAGTGACTTCACTGAGTTCAGTCTACACGGGTCAGCCTTCCAGTAAATGGAGCAAGGGTCGAGCGGATTTAGAGGGAAGGCAGGATATCCGAGCAGAGCAATTTTTTGTCCCCCACCATCCACTCTTGCCCTTCATTTATTTTTTTTGAAGATTTTATTTTTATTTATTTTTAGAGAGAGAGGAAGAAAGGGAGAGAAACATCAATGTGTGGTTGCCTCTTGTACACCCGCCACGGGGGACCTGGCCCACAACCCAGGCATGTGCCCTGACTGGGAATCAAACCAGTGACCTTTTGGTTTGCAGGCCGGCACTCAATCCACTGAGCACAACAGCCAGTGCCACTCTTGTCCTTTAGATTAAAAACCCATGTCCCTATTGCTTGATGGTTACAGAATTTCAGTTTGAGGTGATGGAAAAAATTTGGAAATAGATTGTGGTGACGGTTGCACAATTTTGTGAAGGCCCTAAATGCCACTGATTGTTCACTATAAAATGTTTCATTTTATGTGATGTGAGTTTCACCTCAATTTTTTTAAATGGAAGGGGGAAAAAAAAGGTTATTCCCAACAGGGGAAACAGTCCCATCAATCACCACCTATTTGTCATATTCACCATATCCTTGTCCTTCAGTCATACTCACCTTGAGCCTAACTTAAAACACTATTTGCTAGGGCCCTTTCAGTAAGACAGCAGGGGAATAACAAAAACCTGCTACAAACCCCCCTCTGTTTCTGGTCGCAAGGGCTAAATTAGCAATCACAAATTCTCCTTTTTCCTCTTACCAGCTGCCAGCACTTCAGCTGATTGGGTTCTTTACTTAGTAGGTGTCCTAGACCTTTATTCCTAGGCAAGTCAGATTCTTACCGGTCTTAGGTTTGTCAGGTCGCCAAGTTTCCCCCTGAGTGTCATTATTGGACAAGGGAGATCTGAGAGGCACCCCGTAAATCCCGGATGCCAGACCTAGCCTTCCTGCCCACCCTCCGTTTTCCTCCTGGTCATCAAGATTAGTCACCCTATCTGGTACAGTTGACCCGTCTCTGCCTTTTTGTTCAGCAACATACAAGGCTCAAAAAATGACCAGCAGGAAGATCTTCCAATTTAAAGAAACCACATCTGTGTTCCCTGGGGGAAGTATTCCTCCTTTGGGCACCAAGGACTCCAGACTCAACACAAAGTTGAGGGGTGGAAAGCAAAAACTGTCTTCATTAGGTTGACGGGAATCATAGTGAGAGGAGCCACTCCCGTCTCTGCACCATGGCCCCTCGGCTTCTGTGTTCTGGCTGTGAGAGAGGTGGAGCCACGTATTGGCCACTGACTTAAACCGTGTGCTGCATCCTGCCCATCAATAGCTAACCTTGCAGGTGTTGTCTCCCAGCTGGCACTGTAATGCTCTTCTGTCTAGTCAATTGCTCTGAGTGACAGGCCACATGATAAAGTCCCGTGCATTCCATGGGTAAGACCATTGTTGTATGCCCTTCACCCTAAAATGAAGATAGGCAATGTGCAGGTGGTATAGTGATGAGTTAGGCATTCTGGAAAAGTCCAGAAATGATGGTGCTGACAGAAGTGTCAGGCAGGGAAGTTCTGTCTGGAATACATATTACCATGAAGTATAACTATTCCTTTTATGAAATAAGGGGTCAGTGCAGCCAACCTGCCAATAGGTAGCTGGCAGGTCATTGTGGAGCAGTGGCTCTCAAATTGTTGGCCTCGGAGTCCTTTATACTCGTAAAAATTATTGAAAACTTACACTCAAAAATTACAAAGGGTTTCTGTTTATGTGGGTTATATCTACTTTAGTGGATTAGACATTCAAGTTTTACTTTGACTTGGGGTGGTGAACACACAATACAATGTGCAGATGATATGTTATACAATTGTACACCTGAAACCTATATAATTTTATTAACCAGTACATTCAATTAAAAATTTAAGTGTGAAAATATTAATTTATTTAAAACTAATAAATCCAATTCAGGTTAATATAAACATAACTTTTTAAATGAAAAATAACTTCAGAATAAAAATTGTGAGAAGAGTAGCATTATTCGACATTTTTGCAAATTTCTAGAATCTGGCTGAACAGAAGTCTGTGTACACATCTCATGCAGCCTCTGGAGAATTCCACTCTACGCTCTTGAAAGAATGACAGTGAATATGGCAAAGAACGTCTTGGTATTAGTATAGAAGTTGATTTGGCCTCACAGAACCCATGAAAGGATCTAGCGGACCCCCAGGGGTTCATGGTCCCCACTTTGAGAACCATTGCCCCAAGTAATGTGACCATATAGAAAACTCTGCTTGGTGTTTGCTGCTGGCAGCTTGGTCGCTCAGCACTTCCAGGTGCCAGATCAGAATCGGTAGGAAAATGTGTTGAGCCTACATGTATTAGTTTTCCATGGCTATTGTAATAAATTACCACAAACTTAGTGGCTTAAAACAGCACAAATTTAACTTACAGTTCTGGAAATTAGAAGCCTGAAATGAGACTCATGGGGTAAAATCAAGGCACTGGCCAGGCTGTGTTCTTTCTGAAGTGTCTAGAGGAGAATCTGTTTTTCTGGCCTTTTCCAGCTTCAAGAGGTTGCCTGTATTCCTTGACTTTCACGCTTCTTCCATCTTCAAAACCAATCATGGGCAGTCAGGTCTTTCTCACATTAGACACACTGACTCAGCCTCTGACTTCCACATTTAAAGACCCTTGTCATTACATTGGGCCCACTCAGGTTATTAAGGATAATCTCCATATTTGTAAGGTCAGCTACTTAGTAACCTTAATTCTGTCTGCTACCTTAATTCACTCTTTGCCATATAAAATATATCATATTCTCAAGTCCCAAGGACATCTTTAGTCATTATTCTGCCTACCACACTATAAACAGCCCCTATCCCTGCCACCATGGTTGCTTGGTATGGGGTCCCACTGAGCAAGAACCGGGGTACCTGAGGAAAGACGTTGACATCTACAGAATGGGTCATCTTGGCCACCTTATTAATGAGAGCCTCTTTCAAAATGGATGCCCTCTCAGGGCATTTGTGTGGCTTAAAAATAGTTTCACTACCTGTTTCCCTTTCCGGGAGTCTGTCCATGTATCCACCCTTAGACCTCCTCGTCACCAATCGCAGTATTTTCAAGTCCCTGCCCAGCCAGCCGACTTGTTAGTCACTGCTCATGAACCAGAACAGATCTGTACCTTAGTTTCTTTTCTCCCATGCAAAATGGACAATCAATATAACCAAAAGTTCTGCCTATTAAGAGGGTATCTCTTCATCACTGTCTCTTAGAGACACCCCGAGTGTGGCTTTAATGCAATAGTTGTCCATTTGTGGCTGGTGCTAAAACACCACGCAGACTCACTTAGAAATCATGTCTGTGCTTTTCCCTCTGTGTTAACTGGTCAGAACAACTTCCCCACCTGTGGGGTAAGGGAGAAGCAGTGAAGCCCTAAGAGTAGGTACCGTAAGAATCCATCTGCTCATGCAGTTTCCTTGTGCCTTCTGGACTTGCTTAGGCCTGATCTCATATATACTCTTTAATAACAATGCTACCATGCATGTCCAAGTTTATAATTAGATGGATCAGATAATATCCACTTCTGGCTGCATGGGTCACTTGGTGTCCCATAATCAGGTATTCAGTTTCTTCACGTCCAGTTGTCAGCCAGGAGCTGTTTTTTAAGTGGAGACTTCTTATTGGCAGAGAGGGCATGAATTAATCTAAAACTCTAAGGGTCTCTAACTCTACTTCCATTTTCCTATTGGAACTTGTCCATACTGGCATGTTTTTCTGCCATAGTCACTTCCAAGTAATAAAGCTCATGTGACAGGGCAGCTTGCTCTGCAGCCTGGACCTGCTGGAGAGTCTTATGTTGCTGCAGGCCTCACTCAAAACTGGCAGTCTTTCCCTGGCTGGTATGGCTCAATGGACCGAGTGCTGGCTTGTGAACCAAAGGGCTGCAGGTTCAATTCCCAGTCAGGGCACGTGCCTGAGTTGCGGGCCAGGTCCCCAGGCGGGGACTTGTGAGAGGCAACTGATCAATGCATCTCTCACACACATCGCATCGATGTTTCTCTCCCTCCCTAAAAGTAAATAAAGAAAATCTTAAAAAAAAAACCCAAAATTTGCAGTCTTACAGGTTTTCCAGTAAATAGGTAGAACAGCGCTGACAAATGTGGCATATGTTGCCTCACCACTCCAGAGTCCTGTCAAACATTCTGCTTCTTTCTTCGTAGTGGGCAATAAAGTTTCAACAATTGTCTCTCACTTTAGAGGAGATATCCTGACCTACCCCGGGTCAGTGGATACTCCAAAAAGTTTACTGACATGACATGCCTCTTGATATTTGTGAGATTTATCACCCTTCCTTTGGCAGACATATGTTCTACTAAGAATCTAAAGTGTTTGCAATTTCCTGCTCACTGGGTCCAATTACCATAATACTGTCGATATAATGGACCAGCATAATGTTTTGAACTATATCAAGATGATCATTGTCTCTTTGGACTATAATATGACAGAAATCAGGAGACTAGACACAGCCGTGAGGTTGAGAAGATGCACTGCTGTCCCTGATACACAAAGGCAAAACAGTTCTCATTACTGTATTTTGCCATGTATAATGCGCACCCACGTTTTTGGCCCAAACTTTCAGGAAAAAAATCTTGTTTTAATTTTTTAATTCAATTATTTATTTATATTTAGAAACAAAATCAATTATTGTACTCCAGGGTATTATTTTGTATATGGATATTGTTATTGCTTTCTAGAGTTACAGTTTTAATGCATAAGCATAAATAAAAGAATTAAAAACATTTATATAGATATGGAATCAGTACTACCCATGTATAACGTGCATCCTTATTTTCCCCTCAAAAATCTGGGTGAAAAAGTGTGCATTATACATGGCAAACTACGGTATCTTTACTTAGTGGAATGGGGAAAAGAAAGCATTCGGGGTCAACAATATATACCAGGCCATAAGTTGTGTCGATTCATTCCAGTAAAAATGTCATGTCTAGAACCACAGCTGCAATTGACATCACTCTAACCTCACAGTAACCTATGGTCATTCTCCAAGGCTAACCTGGTTTTTGCGCCAGCCAAATAGGTGACTTAAACTGAGTCTTGATAGGAATGAATGACCACCTGTATGTATTTTAGATCTTTGATGGTGGCAGCAATTTCTGAAATTTCTTTAGGGGTGTAACATTGCCTTTGGTTTGCCATTTTGATGGTGGTAAAGAACGCTTAAGAGCTCTCACTCCCTGAGTCAGGAAATCAGCAGCAGGGTTCTGCTAGTTAATTTACAGACACAGGATGGGTCTGTGGTCCCACTGGATCCACATGGACTTAGAACAGATTGAAAGCCTTGAACTTGTGTCTCAGTGCA